ATCTTTCGTGCCACCTATAATCCTAACAAAATATCATTCAAGGAATTCGTCACGAGACAACATAATTTATCAAGTTAAAACCACTTGAGGAACGTTCATCAGTCATGATACTAAGTAATCCTTTAAAAAACAATCATTGCTTCTCTCTATTTTTTCTCAATAATTATTTCGCCTCAACTGCAATATACATTCTCTCGCATATGAGACTATCAGGGAAGACTAAAAACTGAGAGTCAAAGGGAAATTTTGTGTCTTAAAATAGTCCATATATTACAGCTTTCTAGTATTTTGAATGAATTTCTAACATACCATTAACTACTTCCGTCTACGTCCATTCACATTCAATAAGCAACACTAAATTAATCATTGCGTTAGTTAAACACTGAGGATGTGGATGTGAGTATAAATCTCGACAAAACGAGTAACCGTATCCAAACCCAACACACACATGATCCCCATAGCCTTCAGATCAGAGACAGCGATGCACAACAGCTTGCTAATTCGTCCAGCAACCACACTGTAAATCTTATTTTCTCTGCAACTATTTCAAAATATTTACACTTTTTCTCATAGGCACTAAACACACTTGATCTCCGTAGCAATCAAATCAAAGAGAATGGAATACAACATCTTGCTGATGCATTAAGAAACAATACAGTAAATCTCATTCTCTCTCCAATTTTATTACACAAACGTTTATACTTTTTCACACAGACGCTCATCGAACTTACTCTCGACGGCATCAAATTTGGAGAGAAAGGAGCACAGCATCTTGCTGATTCAATACGGCACAATACAGTAAATCCAATTTTCTCTTCAAATGTCTCATACACACATTTATAAATTTTTACATAGACACTTACTACACTTGATTTCAGTGACAGTAAAATCGGAGATAAAGGAATACAACATGTTGCTGATTCATTAAGAAACAATACAGTAAATTTTATTTGCTATTCAACTATATCATAAAAACATTTACACTTCTCCACACAGACACTCACCAAACTTAAACTGTCTGACAATAAAATCGGAGACCAGGGAGCGCAACACTTAGCTGACTTATTAAGAAACAACACAGTAAATATCATTTTGTTTTCAACTATATCATACAATCATTTACACTTTTTTTCACACAGACACTCATTAAAATTAATCTTTACAGCAATAAAATCGGAGACAAGGGAATACAACATCTTGCCGATGCATTAGGAAACAACACAGTAAATCACATTCTCTCATCAATTATATCATACAAACATTTACACTTTTCCGTACAGACACTAACAACACTTGATCTAAACAGCAATACAATCGGACACAAGGGAGCACAACATCTTGCTGCCTCATTGAGAAACAACACAGTAAATACCATTCTCTCCTGATCTATTTTATACAAAGTTTACACTTTTTTACACAGACACTCATCAAACTTAATCTTGGTTCCAATGAAATCGGAGAGGAGGGAGCGCAACATCTTGCTAATGGCTTAAGATACAACACAGTAAATTACATTCTAACGTCAACTATCTCATACAAACATTTACACGTTATTTCATATAGACACTCACCATACTTCATCTTTATAGCAATCAAATCAAAGATAAGGGAGCACAATACCTTGCTAATTCGTTAGGAAACAACACAGTAAATCTCATTTTCTCTTCAACTATCCCATTCACATATTTACACTTTTTCACACAGACACTCATCGAACTTGAACTTGATTCCAATCAAATCGGAGAGAAGGGAACACAATATCTTGCTGATGCATTAAAAAACAATACAGTAAATCATATTCTGTTGTCAACCATCTCATACAAACATTTACACTTTTCCAAACAGACACTCACCACACTTGGTCTCGGTCATAATCAAATCGGAGAGGAGGGAGCTCAACACCTTGCTGATGCTTTAACAAACAACACAGTAAATCTCATTTTCTCTTCAACTATCTCATACAAACATTTACACTTTTCCACAGACGCTTTCAACACTTAATCTCAACGTCAATAGAATAGGAGAGAAGGGAGCACAATATATTGCTGATTCATTAAGAAATAACACAGTAAATATCATTCTCTCTTCAACTATCTCATATATGTATTTACACTTTTCCACACAGACACTCACTACACTTCATCTCTTTGGCAATAGAATCGGAGACCAGGGAACACAACACCTTGCTGATTCATTAAAAAACAATACGGTAAATCGCATTTTCTCTTCAACTATCTCACTCATATATTTGTAATTTTTCACGCAGGCACTCATCGAACTTGATCTTGGCTGCAATGAAATCGGAGAGAAGGGAGCGGAACATCTTGCTGATTCATTAAGAAATAACACAGTAAATCTCCTTGTCTCTTCAACTATCTTATTCACATATTTGCGTTTTTCCACGCAGACGCTCACCACACTTAGCCTCCACGACGATGATATCGAAGACACAGGTGCACAACATCTTGCTGAGTTATTAAGAAACAAGACAGTAAATCTCATTGTTTCTTCAACTATTTTATATACGCATTTACACTTTTTCACACAGGCACTCACCACACTTGATCTCTTTCAGAATGGAATCAGAGAAAAAGGAGCAAGACATCTTGCTGACTCATTAAGAAATAACACAGTACATCTCATTCTATCTCCAACTGTCTGATACACATATTTACACTTTTTTACACAGACACTTACAACACTTGAACTCAGTTGCAATGAAATCGGAGCCAAAGGAGCACAACATTTTGCTAATTCATTAAGAAACAACGCAGTAAATCTCATTCTCTCTTCAACTATCTGATACACATTTTTCAACATAGACACTCACCACACTTGATCTCTCAAGGAATACAATTGGAGATAAGGGAGCACAACATCTTGCTGATTCATTAAGAAATAATACAGTAAATATCATTCTCTCTTGAACTATATCATTCACATATTTACACTTTTTCACGCAGACACTCACCACACTTAGTCTCGATGACAATGAAATCGAAGACGAAGGAGCACAACATCTTGCTGACTCACTAAGAAAGAATACAGTAAATCTCATTTTCTCTTCAATTATTTCATACATACATTTACACTTTTTCACACAGACACTTACCACACTTAGTCTCGATGACAATGAAATCGAGGAAAATGTTTTAGATCGTGTGAATGAACTTATTGAGAGAAATGAAGGATTGGCAGAATCTTAAATGTTAGTGATAAAGATATTATTGTTGTTGAATCAGAAGAATATATTTATCGTTTCATTAAAACTGCACAGGATGGGTGACTTAAAAATGACAATAATGTTGTTGGATTCTTTCGAAACCACGTTTATTAAAGTGTCAATTTTGTTGTATTTTTTTTTACTATAAAATGATCATAATATATTGGTTCTTATTGAAGCCGTGCTCTTAACTGAAGGAGATGTGATAGCATAATGTCAAAGTGTTATTGGTGATTTTTTTGTATTTTTTTTGTTCATCGACCGATCTTACAACGATAGAGCATAGTTACCAGCTGTTGGGTATTAATGAAACAAAGTAATATAAAAGACGATTGTTAGTATAATGAAGGGAACGATAATTAGTAGATGTCATGTAGAATAGAGTGAAGAGAGAAAAGTTTTTTAGTATATGCTGTTATGTTAATTTATAAGTTGATGCTAGTTTCGCCGAACTTCAAATGACATAGTTTTTTTGAGAAAGTCAGAGAACTGATCGAGAAAGTCAGAGAACTGATCGAGAAAGTATTAGGTTCAGCGTCGGATTTATGATATATTTGATATAGGATTAAGGGAAACTGACTCATGTTTAGCCACTGGAGCGAACAAAAAATTCTTATAGTTGGTAATTTTGATGGTGAATTAATGATACTTTAGAAGAATATTACTTATATATTTATTTGTGAGTCGTTAAAATCTATGGCAATATTTTATTTTCTCTGCAAGTTTATATACAAAATTATTAATGACAATTAGGACAGATTTTTAGTCCAACAATGATGTTATAATATATCAGCCTATTCAACAACAATTATTACAATGACTATTAAAGTATATCTGATGATTGATTGATTAATGTCATTTCAGTACGTTAATTCATAAAAGACATGTTTGAACTTATAATTTTCATCAAAATCGACAAGAACAGAATATATATTTACTAAAAAAGTTATTTCTATCAATTTTTCTAACAATCTTCAGAATGATAGTTAACTGTGTTTGTGTTTTAAAATAAATGTATTTAAACAATGCACACAATGTCAAAACTATGCAAATGAGTATCTTCTTCAATCCTTTTTTGGATTGATTTAAAATAGCAAGCATTTATTTATATTTATCTTTCTGACTGTTACATACGTTTTAAATAAATAATATCATCGACATTTACTCAATATGTTAGAGAAGAACCATAGAAGTCGTTGTGCTAAGTTATAATGACAACAAACAATGACAAAATATTAATATTAATTATATCATTCTCAGAAATTGCAGTCGATTATTTGTGAATAATAATTAATAAATGAGTAGCATCCGAGAGTGGGATGTAGGTGTGGGTGTGTGGTTGTGAGAGAAGAAGAGCACTTCACATCCACACTCACACTTAAACCTTCAAGATTTTATATGGAATATATAATTCATTATATACCCTATTTAAAATGAATACAATATTCTCTCAACAAAATCTTATTTTCAATCTATTACTACAAATCTTTTAAATAAAATTATTCAACATTATATGTAACCGTCAATAATTACATATTTATCTGACGTCATTCGATTTCTTTCTTCTTTTGTTAATCTTAAGATATTATTCATGGATTACCCATTCATGTAACGACGTATATCTTAGTCATGAAAAAGAATGATATAATTTATTTATTTTTCTCCGGGGAGGTATTTAGGTATAAAAAGGTAAAGAAAACGAACAACCATCTATTATCATTACATATACAAACGCAGTGAAGCGAAATATATTGATTAAATAAACTAAAGAATAGACATGAGTAAGTTGAAAATTGTACAAAAGAAAAGATTTATTTAAATATTATGTCTAGGTTTTATTATGAATAAAATAGAAGAAAAAGTTGGTTTAGATTTAAATAAAGATGGTCGAGTTGGTGGACCTGGTTTAACTGATAAAATTGAAAAAAAGACTCATATTGATTTTAATCGTGATGGACTTGTTGGTGCACATCGACCATCACCAGGAGGAGGTAAATTAAAGTAAATTTTAAAGTAAAATCTTATCATTCTTTTTATTCATAGGTTTAATTGGTAAAATTGAACGGGCAACACATATTGATATAAACAGGGATGGTTATATTGGTGGTGCACCTGGCTATCTTCCACCACCACAAACTCATAAAAAACATTAGTCCTTTTGTTATCATATAATGCTACTCAAAATCAAAGCTTTATAATTTGTAAATTGTTATTGTTATTTGTGATTATGCATTCTTAAATTATAATAAAAAAAAGTGTTAAGATGCAACATTTTATAAATTTAAAATCAAATAGAATTATAAAAATGTGTAGTTCCTTTTTATTCATAATTTTATTATTCATAAAAAATAACTTTTCATAGACAACTCTCTAAGCCATGAATTTGATTCTAACAATTGATAATATGAGGTCCTTGTATATTGTTTATTTCTTCTTTTAAATCAAGTAAATCTTGAGAACCAGTAACAATCAAACGATATGAATGTGATAAAAGAAATTGATGCATTTCATGTAGATTCACATCAATACGAAATGTTCCATTATTGTTTATTAATCCTAATTGAATAAAATTAATATATCTCATTGAATTACTTGATGCAATTTCTTCGGAAACATTTGTATGAGAAAAAAGTGTCATATTAAAATAATCAAGACTATGTTCAGGTACAAGAACAATAGTTACAAATTGATTTGTCTTACAATTAAAAAAATAACTATCTGTTTCATCACTTCGTCTGATAACACCAACTATCATAAATGAACAATCTAATTCTTCTTGAACATGGGATTCATCAAGAACTTCAACTAAATCAAAATAACGAGTTTCATTTACTGTCCATTTCACTTGAACACTATGATGTCCTTCTAAATTCATTGTATTATAAGGTCCTGTTGGTCCGAGAGCTCCTAATGGACCTAAAGCACCTAATGGTCCAAATGGACCTAAAACACTCCATAATCCAAATGCTCGTAAATGTTTACCAAAATCATTGGTTAATGGAAGTTTTGAATGATAAGAATCTGATGATAAGGGTCCTGTTGAAGAAAGCGGATTATTAGAAAGTCCAAATAACATATGAGATGTAGTTCGATCAATTAGTGTTGGTGATTCTGATCTCCATGCTGTTGGATTCCATAGATGGTGTCCAATTGGACCCATTGTTCCTAATGGACCATAAGCACTATATATAGACATATATATTAGATACAAATCATATCAAATTTTACCTTAATGGACCATGTGAGCCTAATGCTGAACTTGGACTTAAATAAAATTCACATGATAATCTACCACAATCAATAGGTAATGGTTGAATTAGTTGTAGATCTTGATCTAATGCTTCGATACTTGATGCAGTAATACAAGGACCATAACATGTTTTTGTTGACGAATAAATATGAAGGAAATTAATGGATAATATAAAGAAAGAAATAGAATTCATTTTTTTTTGATCTTCATATAAAGCAATTTAGATAATAAAATAGATAGTATTTGTACTCATTTACTGATATGAGAAAAAAGAACAGATGATTAAATATTTAACTAAAATAAGATATAATTTGCTCTTAAATTTTATGATTATCAAAAAAACGTAAATGTCATGTACTGTTATCAAGAGATAAATACAGCTGACAATCATTCTCTCATTACTTTTAAAAATTGAATAGTTGAGGAACAACAAAAAATTATAAATAATGACTAATCAGAACGGAATATTTCATTATATTAGTTACATTGTTCATTCATTGAAATCTTCTATTACTGAAGTAAAAAATGTTACATAATTATATTAAACTCATTATAAAGAAGTTTATATGTTTGCATGCATACCATTTTAAGCAGCTTACTAAATGTTAATTATGTGATTACGAAATAGTCAATAAAATCAAATTGTAACGGTATTTTTTACCATAGAGATTCTGTAGACGAAGAACTAGAAATGATATTCATTACTTTATTACATTTCTGTTCAAGTTTATCGTTATGATTTATATATAGATATAGATATAGATATTTCAAACATTCTACTCTATTACAATAAAAAAAATTGACTACATTCTATAATATTAATACATAAAAACAAACGTATAAAATATTTCTTCACTTTGTTAATGATCATTTTCGTTGTGTGAACAGATAGGAAAAAAAAGAAGAAGCTCAAGATTAAACATATTCGAAAAATTACAAATATATATATCAAGGAAATACACTTGGTGTTGATGTATAACGTGAGAAGGGTGATGTTAGTGTAAATGTTGATGATGGAACTGTATCATTAAATACAGTTGCATAAGTTGTTTTAAGAGAACTAACATAACTTTGTATAGAACGATTGTTATTATTTGATTGCTCAAGTTTATCACGTAATTCACCTAATTGAGATGTATAACGTCGTTCAGCATCATCTTTATCTCGTTTTAATTGAGTACAATCAAGTCGAAGTTTTGATATTTGTTGTTCAAGATCATTGATACGTTGTTGCAAAGAACGTTCCTATTCACAACAAAATTATTTTAAAAATTAAAATTCATTGCTTACTTTAGAAGTATATGTATCTTCTCGAGTTTTAAGATCTGTTTGTGCGATATCAATTTGTTTACTTAATGATGTTAATTCATGTGTTTTCGCATTGAGACGAGCCTAAATAAAATAATAATTCAAATCAATTATTTTTTTTTAAATAAGCGAACTAATTATTCTAGGAATCTGTTTTAATCAATGTAATAATCATTTTGTATAACTTACAAAGATATATATATATGTAATGAAGAATAAAAGACTGAAAAATTAAGTTAGATAGTTTTGATTAAATCTATGTTTACTTTCGAGATGAAGAAAAACGAATTTACCTGTGTATTTCTTAATGCTTCTTCTTTCACATTAAGATTTCTTAATAGAGTAGCATTGTCGTCTTCCAATGCCGTCAATTGTCTAGATATAAAGTAACAATTGTGAAAAAATTCGTCTCTTATTTCAACAATTTACCGTTGTAAAGTGTCATTTTTTGGTTGAAATGTTGAATGATCATCATCGAATGGGTAATGATTGTCTTTTAATCGATCAAGTATGTGATTTTGAATACTTGTCTAAAAGAAATAATGTAAAAAAAAGTGCTTTTTTTTCTGTTGTTGAGTGTAGACGTACTTTTGAATTGAATTCAGTTAGAAATGCTGCTTGTTCAGTGAAACGTTTTTCTTGCTCGTGAAGACGTGTTTGAAGGTCTTGATTTTTCATTTCAGCTTGTCGTAATAATTCTGGAAGTGGTTCAAGTTCTTCTATTCGTTTTTGTAAACGAATACGTAGTTTATCTAATTCAATTTCTGATAAATGAGTTTTACTATTATTAATGGATGTTTTTAATGTATGATTATGTAATTGTTCTTTATATTCAGAAACTAGATGTTCAGCATGTTCAAGTTTCGTACGTAAACGAATTATTTCTGAATTGGCATCAACAATTTGTTCATTTTTATTTGTATATAATTTCTTCTCAAGTTCAATTATTTCACGATCACGTTCAAACAATTGTGTTTGTAATTTATCAATAGTTATTCCTTTAGTTTTAGCAACAAGACTTGGAAGAGAAGAATAGATTGACGTGGAAAATGATGATGTACGTCTAACAGCTCGCGAAAGATCACGTTCCATGGTCTATAGTTAGAAATAAAAAGAAAAAATGAATGATAAATAACGAATTTTCTTACTCGAAGAATACATTGTAATCGATTAATTTCACCTTCTCTAGCATAAAGTTCACGTTGAAGATGAGCACGATTATGTTCTAATGAATTCTTCATTGTATCATAACCAATAGCATGTGTTCTTACGCGTTCAAGTTCAGTTTGTAAAGCAACATTATCATTTTCTCTATCAAGTAATAAACGTCTTATTTCTCGATTTTCATTTTCAAGTTCATGTACACGTAATGATAAAGTATCAGTTTTGTTATTTAAAACACCATCTTCAGCTTCTAAATGATATTGATGTCGAAGAAATTCTTTCAATTTTCTATTGGAATTTTCAAACTGTTCGATTAAATGTAATAATTCGTTACGTTGTTGATATAACTGCTCAACTTCAAATGAAACTGGATGATTGTCCTAAAAGAATATGTAATAAACAATTTCTTTCTATACAATTATAAAAACAGAAGCCACATATACAAAAAAAAAATCAAAAAAAATTCTCTTCAATTTCATACGTGTGCCTGCATCATGAGCGCGTCAAGTTTGTCGCATTATATTCATGAATACGTCTATGCATAACACTCTATTTAAATGTTGCAACCTACGTCTGGTATATATACACACATACCAAAGAATCAAAAAGAAAATGAAATAAAAACCGTTATGAAATATTTCAACTCTGATTTCATTATCGATATTGAATATAAATGTCAACTCAATAAGGTAACAATGACATGCAATTCTGAAGTTTCTTACAAAGATATGTTTCGTTTTTTTGAAATATGAGAAATATGTTAAAGATCAAATGATATGTGTCAATACATACGACTTTAAGTTTAGTTAGGGTATCTTTAACAGAAGATAATTGTTTGGTAATTTGTGCAACATCAGCTTCTGATTGTGATAATGATACTAATAATCGTTCGCGTTCTGGATTAAGATTTAATGGACCTCGCACTGGTGTTACACTACGTGCTCGTCGTCTAAATAAATAAATTGATTTAATTAAGAAATATATATATATGATTTTTAATGATTACCGTTCAATAATGGAATCATTTTCAAAAGAAACCTTGGGTATTGATGAATAAGTTCGTGGTTCACCAGCACTTGCCGAACGATAATTAAGACGTGTTGGTGGTGATGAACGAGATAATCGTGTTTGTTGAGATTGTTCAAGGTCATATAAAGATGAATTAAGATCAGAACGAAGTTGATCGATTGGTTCATAATTATAACGCTTACGTACCTAAACAAAAAAAAAATGAATTAATTAAAAAGAAAATATTCCTTTTTTCTAAACTATTTTCTTATACTCGTTCTTTAAGTAATTCAACGTCTTCATTTGAAAGATTTTGTCTAATACGATCAGTATTTAGACTATCATCATCATCATGTACATCATCATGAACAAGATCAGAGTTAATTCCAAAACGTGCTTTCGAATTCTATTGAAATTAACTAGGATAACTAAGGATTCTAAAGTCAAATATATTTTACCTGCCAAGTATATTTTTGCGCTTTTGTTGTACGACCTGGTGGCGGAACCCTTTATATTATAAGATTAAATAATAAGAACATGTTTTTTTTTTGTTTCTTAAACTTTCTTTTATTACCATGGTTCTCGAGTTGGTGGTGATGGACTTCGAGAATGAATAGCTAGATTTTGTTTAGATTGAGTAATTTCCTGAGATATATTGGAAGATTTTGTTTTATTAGGTTTCACTTTGCTTATTACACATGTACGCATTCTAGGGGCTTGGCGTCCTCCACGATTTGCTGTTGTAGTACTTTTTTTAATGTATGATCCACTAATACAATCATTACGCCAGTCATTGTCAACATGAACATCTATAGGCGTAATAGTTTGCATCTGAAAAAAAAAACTGAAAAAGATGCAAGTATGTCGTGATTTACATAAAAAATTAAAAAAGCTCTCAACAAAAAACATGTTCATATGTTTGCTTCTATACTTTTTCATTGACAGAAATCGCTTTTTTTTCTTTTCTATTCAAACCATACTTCATCTCATTCTTAATAGATGTACTTAGTTATAACCTCTGTAAAGAATAAGCATTGTATAGAAACAATAGTTGAAATAAAACGATTTTTAGTGACATCTAAGTTAAAAAGAATATATTATTATTTTGATTGTAATTATGCCAAAATATTCTATTAAGATTATTTAAATAATTGCTTTTACTTTTGTTATATACAATAATCATGAAAAGTTCGACTGCTATATAAAAACTATCGTATCATATTGTATAGTTCCAATATGTTCAAATTATAAAGTATTCTCTGACACTTATCGAGTGTAAATTAGCAATAGTCGATGAGAAATAGATTTCAGAGTCTATTTTTTTACTATTGGAAAAAATTGAAATTGACATCACAAAATGCTTTTTAATATGAATGATTTACCTCTAATAACTATCTTTCAAATTAATAATTTTTTATGTGGTATGCACGAGTCTACGTTTTTTTTACATTGAAATTGGATTTTGTCAAAAGATCGACTGAAGTTTCCAAAATATGCAACAATTATCCTCTAAAACAGAGTATATCATCGTAATTAAGAGTAAAAACATGGATTAAAGATTCATTTCGTACTGTTATGTATGTCTTGTCTTGTGCTGATATGTGAGGATCGTGGATACATATGATGAATTTACCATTTTCATAGAGTATTCTGTCATAGTTTACTGGAATTTCGGTTATATTCTAGTTAGTTTGACTCACTAATCTATTTGTAGAATATCATGGTCTTATTAATAGTCAGTAATCTTGATACGATATACCATCAACACATATCTTCAGAAAAAGTATGCAATCGCAAACTTCGTTGTTCTTGTGCATATAGGTTGATTACATTTTTTTCTTGCTGTCTTTGTTTTCCCATGGTAAACTCTCGCGTAGCGTGTGGGTCTAGAAAGTTAGCTCATGAAGTATAGTTTATTATAGTGGGTTTACTTTGGATTTTTCTAGTATCAATACTTTCTTTTTAACCCCTTCTGTAACTTTATTGTATAAGCTTTACCTATCTCTTTCCATCATTTGACCTTGTGACCGTTCTCCTATGTTTTCCATCTATTTGGCCTTGTGCTCAGGAGCGTAAGTCAGGTGTCAGAGCAGGGGGGGCGAGCAGGGGGGGTGCAACCTTTTTTTTCTATTTTGGCGACCAAAAAAACGAAATTTTCAAAAGTAGGGGGGGCGTAAACCCCTTTTTCGTATTAGTTTTCGAAAGCAGGGGGGGGGGGTATTGCGCCCCACGCGCTCCCCCCCCCCTATTTACGCCACTGATCATAAATAAAAACGCTAAATCTTTAAAAATATTCTGAAAGTACAAATAAATGATATATGATGCTAGAATATTAATGGCGTTCCACTAATCTCAGTATAAAATATCTTAAAATTAATTCTACCCAGACAATTTTATATAGTTGTCTGTTATTACTACACCTCTGTCTGCTCTTTTTTTCTTAGTACATTGTTGCAGAAGTAGAATGAAATTTTTGAGGTCGTTATATATATATATTTATTTATTGGTCAGTGAATTATCGTTTGTAAGCTTTTACCTAATGGTACACTAGGTGCTTTTTCTAATATTGTTGATAGATCACATTTCATTAATATATCTATTGCTAAGTTGATTATTAAATTGAAAATAAATATATACTTATGTCTTATACTAGAAAATAAAATAATATTTATTTTTAATTGTTACAAAAAAGACTTCACTCATTCGAAGGTTAGTAAGTATTATAAATTGCCTTTGGCTACTACAATCATAAATCAATATTATTTAAGTAAATCCATAATGTATTCATTGGACCTTTAAGACATATGTTGATTTATTTTTTCTGCTTAATCTCTCGTATTTAACTGATTTGGAATTATCGACAACATCTGTATTTACTTGATATTCTTTTATAAGGAAATGATCATGTTGATATTCGGAAACGTGTGACATTAGTAATTTAATACGCCAACTCTATGATTATCGTATGGTTATGTTTTTATAATTAACCATGTCTTTCAATATTAAGCAAGTCATATTTCATTTTTTTTAATTCAGAAGATATGTTAATAATGAAAAATAAACAATTTTCAATTTCATAGATGAATGTAAAGTGTCAAAAAGCTTATTTACAATAGGAATATTCAGGAAAGACAAATATATTTTATTCTCTCTCACGATACCTTCAACTTTCTTTTCGAAACCTGCATATTCGTCATATTATAATAAAAAATAAATTATAGTTTAAAATAATACCCGTACTCTATATTCTTTATTTATTACCGAAAAAAAAATAGCGACTATTCTAATATACTCATGTATGATTAATTTGACAAATATGACAGATGACGTATATATTCTATTTTCTGTTCAAATAAAAAGCCATCTGAAAGTAAAAACAAATTTAGATAGTGGGTGATAATGGGTTAAAACAATATATCTCAGTAAACATCTTATCTTTTCTCGTTCTGTCAAAGGTTTATTCAATAGATGATATGACGTGAACCAAATGAAAACAATTAAATATAAGCGGTCTGTAGTTCTTACATTAAAGAACTACAATAAGATAAGTAAAAATTTTATTGAACTCGAAAAACGTGTTATTTTATCTAGGTAGATATGAGAAACAAAAAAAGAATAAAATTAGTCAAAGCTTTTAAGCATCACATGATGTCAATCTTATTCTACTAATTAGTTCTTACATCAAAGATCAACAGATTTCGATAGAATATAATTAATTTGATTATTTCATTACAATTTCATATCAGTATAAATAAACATCAGAAATATTTTATTAGATTTGTTTTAGAAATAAAACAAATGTATAGAGAATTCATTTTTGAAAGTAAGAAAATATGTTTTTGTTATAAATCTGTATGGAAATACATTCCATTTAGTAAGTGATGCAGTAAAATTATACGTACTCTGTCAGTATATTTTCAGAGCCATAGTTTAATGAATTCATAGAATAATACTAAATATATACAGAACATATTTGACAGTTAGGATCTTGTCAAAACTACAGTAGAAGTTATATATGCTCGAATTATTATACAGTACTGCATAGAACTTTGACTTTTTCCTCAGTATGTCATTCTAAATGTTTTTCTTGAAGAAAATATGTTGCATTCTTTAGTTTTATAATGAATTATATTGTTAATAATCGGAAACTTATTGTATTTGAACATGTCTAGTCTAATTTTTCTATTTAATAGATGATGATATAATGATACAGTAAGCATAATAAGTATTATTTGTTCGTCGTTTATTTTCATCAATTTTATACAACATTGTGTTCAAGATTTGCGCATACTCCTATATTAGTAGACATAAAAATAGTTTAACTCTTTGACATGTAAACATGATTATATTATATTACAAAAAGTCATGTTAATGATTTATATATTGTGTCTAGTTTTATGCGATTATGTAAATCGTAAGTCTAAATACTTTTATTGTTATGATAAAAATATAATAATTTCCATCTAAAGATTATCTTTTTTTAAATATCACACGTTCTTTGAACTTTTCTTTTCGTTCTGCATCATATAGATAAACTAAGAAAGGATGATTCTATTTTTATAATAGTGACCTTCGAAATACAATAGACTCATTTATTCCTTACTTATGTCTTATATGACATTAATAATTTACTTGTAGAAAGGTTTTGTAATATTGATTTACATGACAATTACAGAACAGAACTAGACTGTATTGTAAGGAAAATATATGTAAATATTTTATGAAATTGTTATTATAAATAACGTATATAATTATTCCCATGATCATACAATTGAGATATTTTACTTCTTAGAATATTTGTTACATGGATATATGTGGTATCAAAAGTTTCTAATTTCCCTATAAGAATAATAATAAACTTGTTAGATTTATTGTGATTTAGCACATATGATAAATAAGTTCTTTTTTATTTCTTAGTTTAGATGATTAATGATCACGCAAAGATATGTTAGAAGTTACTAACATCTACTCAACAAGGGAAATCAAAAAAGTAGAACATCCATATTTTTATACATACAAAAAAATAGTTTTTGATATATGCTATTTCATGTTTGAATAAATCGCTCTAGGAACATCAATTCGTTATACGTCATTGTATCTGGATGAGTTATTTCGTTGACATTTACAACCCACATTCATATTAACAAAAAAACATAGTTCATTAGGTTTATAGAATTTATTAATGAGAATATAAATATGTCTTTTTATTTTCACTATTAATATCTGATAGTGATCTTCAATCATATTTCGAAATATGAATAGAAATTATTTTCTCATTAATCAATTATTTGTCACTAAAAAACATTCATTAGACAAAATAGAATAATAAAAAATAAAAATATTCTATTTTACACATGACGTTATGAATAACATCAATTAATAATAGCAGATTAAGTTGAAATATTTTTAATTAAATCAGACATATAGTATATGTCATTTTTTATCATGTAAGAAACGTGCTGATTCGAATTGTTTCATGGCAATATAGAACATAAGTTTATTAAATTACATTAAGAATACTTAAAGTGAATGAGTAGTGTTCCACATTTATAACAGATTGATTTATTTGTTTTTGGTGGCTATTTGAATGTTTATTAATAATTTTTGAAAAAAAAAAATAAAGAATTCTTTACATGCACCATTTGATTGAAGTAATAATAAGAAATGCATTAAAGTAAAATATTATTTAGAAAAGAAAATAGATGATGATACTTATAATAAGAATAATAATAGGCGTCATTAAAATTTTTACTGTGGGAACATTATTGTTTTTTATATAAACATATATATTTTAAAAAGAGAAAATTCTCTCGTAATACATAGTGAACGGAAATATTTATAAATAATTTTAGTGGAAGATAATTGTCTCCCACGAAACAAAATACAATCATTATACAAATGATTGATTTTATTTATTGAAATTTTCGATAATAAATTAATTCAACTTATCTTTTATTTTGTATATATTAAGGAAATTATTTTTTTAATATTGTCGTCTGGGTTTTTTTTTCTTAATAAAAAGTTTAAATATAAAAAAGATTTGTCGGAGCAAATTAGTATTCCTTGATAAGTTTAATGATACACAACATTGACCTGCCATAATTCATTATGAATGTAGGATGTATACTGTAATTATTATTGGTATGTTAAAGAAATAGAAAAAAAGGAGATAGATGAAGAAGAAGAAGAGAAAAAATAGACGAGGAAGAATAGAACAAGCTGCTACAAAAACAATAAGGTCATTTTGTCTTTGAATTTAACAGAATTCTTTTCTTCTAGATTGAATTGTTTTTTTCCTAGAAGACTAAAAATCAAATATGGTGAATAACAGTACATTATCATTCTTAGATCTTGCTAAAGCTTATGCTACAACTCATATGACATTATCTGATTTATATACATATGAAGTTATTATTTTACTTATCTATGGTGTTATAATAATATTTTCATTTTTTACAAATTCTATTGCTATAATTATATTTTTAATTGGTCGTCGTTCACGTTCGGAATTATCACCATTTTTACTTAATTTATCTGTTTTTAATATAATTATGACTGTTTATTGTATACCATTTACAATAACATCAGTTATATTTCAACGTTGGATATATGCAGGGGAATTATGTATTGTACTTGATGCATTTAAAACATTTTCCGTATCAGGTGTATTATTAACATTAATTACAATAGCTATTGATCGTTACTGTGCTGTTAAATATCCATTAGCAACAAAAGTTTATTCTGTATTTAAAAAAAATTTAATAGCATTAAGTGTTATTTGGATATTAAGTTTAGGTTTAACAATATTACGACTACCAGCAAGATCAATACCAATACATGAAATACGTTTATGGATTAATTCACGTGAATTATTTTCGATTTATATTGATTCACTTGAGAATGCCACAGAAACATTAGAATCGATTTATTTATCAAAACAACTTCATTATCAACTTATTGATACAATTCAATGTGTACCAAATACAAAAGCAAAATCATTTGAAGTTCGATTAACAATACTGAATTCTTTACAAACATATTTTTTTCCTTTGTTTATTCTCGCATTTGTTTATTTACGTATCGCAGCTATGTTATGGCAACGTTCAAATGATGGACATATTGAATTTAATGGTACAACAGTAACGAATAATTTATATACACATGAAAGTGTACAATTTAAAAAGAAATTAAAACAAGTAAATATCTGCGGAAAATTTAATTGATAAAAGGCAATACTTAAAAAATTTTGATTAAGTAAAAACAAACAACTTGACTATTATTTGTATAAATTAAAACGGAAATGAACTGTTGAAAAAGTATAAGTCACCTTTTTCGAAGTATATATTAGTTAATGAAAAATTCTTTGTTTTGACTTTATAATCATATTCTGTTATACGCATTAAGAAAATACTTTTCTAAAAGCATTTATGCGTATATCCTTAAATGCAACGGTGTATTACTAATTCATCACTTTTATGAAGAAAAAGAACTAGTCGGGTAGTATCATTTTTCCTCTTTATAAGCAAAAATAAAAGAAATAGAATATGAATTCAAAACATAGCCTAAAGACAGAATATATATTTGCTATTAATCATTTGAAAGCTTGGCATCTAAAATCATGTTTTCTATTTGACAGCCTTTTTCCTTCTTTTAGTATCTTGTTCATCTTATTTACTCTATGAAGTCAAGAAAAATAATATATATAGATGGAAATACTTCTTTACATATTAAGACTATAAGATTCTGTTTATATTTTGTACTTTTCTTTTTTTAAGAACTAAAAGAATATGACATGCGCATAAAGTGGATTTATATTTATAAAGATTAAACTTTTATTATAAAATTAATATTTTTGTTTTTCATTTAAATAATGGAATATATATTAAGACTGAAATAATATCCGTAGGACTCAGTAAATTTGATAATGTATGAAAAAAGAATAATACCTATACCACAACGGTCATATCGTTCTATTATATTACAACAGGAAAGACCTATAAATTTATTTTTGTAATGTTGAAACATGTGAACTATTAGCTGTAAATGTTAAACAAGTACTCTTCTTTTATAGAATAATGTGACGAGTTCGGTACTTCTTTCTATAGACATGAGTGTCTAGTGGGATTATTAATAAAACTAATAAAATCTGAATTAATCCTTTAAAGTCACGATCGAGAACAAAAACATAATTATATAGAGCATAATTTCATACATACAGACGTGATTAATCTTATCCTTGAGAATATTCTCCTTTCTAATCGTTTATCTTTACAAGAAGGAAAAAAACTCACGTAAATAAACTTCTTATAGTTGAATTATCTTTCTATTTTGAACATAATATATTCGAGGACATTAACTGAGATAATTAGTTGTATCTTCATTCAACCGTTAAATTCTTAATATCAGATTAAACACTCAGCGTCTAGTGAAGTAATTATAAAATTATATTTGTCAATAACTTCGTCTTTAATATATTACCTAGAAAAAAGTTCTTAAAATGCCTATAAATCTTTATTTCTAATAAAAACTATAAATAAAAGTCTACAACTTTAGGATTCTTATTTTTAATTAATTGTAAAAAATACAAAATCTCTGATTAAATTAGCATTATTATTCAAACGATAACTTAGTGTGAATTGCTAGTAGAATATACTCCTCTTCATATAATTAGCGTCTTGTTTCTTTCGAGAAAAAAAAACTTGTAACAAGATAATAAACAAAAAAAACAATGAATTAATTAACCCTTCACAAAATTCTATTTTTAGGGCTTGAAAATGTTAGTGGCTGTTGTGATTCTATACGCTGTACTTTGGTTACCAATGAATCTATTCCAATTATGTTTAAATTTACTTTGTTATATAGGCACACCATATCAAGATTTTTGTAGTAATTCAACATTACTTAAACTTCTATATATATCATCTCATTTTTTAACTGTATCAAATACAGCTCTTAATCCTATTATTTATGGTTTTGCTAATAATCGTTTTCGAGTAAATCATTTTTTTCAAATAAATAATCATATGAATTATTTCTATTGATTTATTTAGAGTGATATTCGACATTTAAAACGTCGTATTTTTCATTGTCAAGGCCGAACATCATTTTATTTTCTTGCGAAAGGATCACGAAGAACTTCATATACACTTGAAGAACGATTTCGTGATGTTCGAAATAATCAAAATTCATTGAAAACAAATAGAAATTTATCTATGCCTCGACAAAAACCAGTAAATATGAACAATTTATTAACAGAAGATTCGCTGAAAAATTTACGTCATTCAACTTGATTTAGTTTATTTATTAATAAATGTTGTGAAAACATGATTATTATTATATTTAAATTTGTTTCTACATGATTTTTCTCTTATAAATAAAAAAAAGGAAAAATTTAAAAAACATGATATGACGATATCAGTCATATTGTTTATTTCCTCTATTAAGAAATAACCCATGATAGATATATAAAATCATGCTTATTTTTCTCTTCGTTATGCTTCATTGATAATGAGTCATTCGATGTCTTTATATTTACGCGTTTTACTTGAGACAAAACATAGGTAAAAGATTCATTACTACGCATATACTGTTTATATTGGATATTTATCAGCAACGATTCAATAATGAGTCTACCAACTGGAATGAGTCCTGCTACTGGCAGTCACTATAATCATGTAGCTGCACAAATGCAACAATATTTAAACAGCAGTAATTCTAGTGGATATTCTGGACATCAACTTCAATCTGCTCAGGGTCGTGTTCATCAACACCATCCAACTCATGGAATAGCTTATGCATCACATATGCCAAGCCATGCAGCTCAGTATTTAGGTGTAGATCCTGTGATTAGTCAAGATGTCGGTGGATTTGCTCGATTATTTATGAGAAATTTACTCCGTTAATAATCCAAACAGACTGGAAATAATATCTTCGAATACTTTAATTCATCAATCGAAGAAATATCTTGTACTGATTTTTTTTGATGGAAATTTGTTTCGTTTATTTTGTTTATAGAATAAAAACTTGTATTGTATAAAATAGTATGTCTTTTTTCATTACATAGTTATGCATTTTAATTAATGACTGAAGTGCATAGTTCGAAATGACTTTTTTTATTTTATATTTTGTCTAGAATATCATCGGTGTCTGCTGACAGTGTAAAGGTAAAAGTCTTTCATTAACTATTTCAATTAATGTTTTTTGCCCTTAACATACTGCAGTAATTATGTTCGACGAAGCAAAAACAAATATGCGTCATACTGTTTATAATAACTTGTTAATATCAGTCGAAATTTTTATCACACTACTGATTTTATCTTTGATATCGAAATTTTTCTCTTTAAAAATAAAACGAAAAAAAACTAATTTATATTATCGAAGAAAGAGATTTATATATATATATATATAAGTCTTCATATTGTAACATAAGTTATGTTTGGTTGATTTGCAATAAAGAAATGAAAGAATATTTTTCTTGGCAAGAGAATGATTGAATAGGATAATTTTTATGATTTCATTTATAAGATTAAAACTTTCGAAAGAAATAATAATCAACATACAATGGTTGATGTTATTGAAAATAAAAATATTTCAATTTTTCGACAGAAAATAAACTGGAAAAATATCCGATATTATTGTTTTCATTCGAGGAAAGATGCTCGAATATTTTGGTATTGTTATATATTTATATTAATTACATTATTTATTATATTTATGGTTGCATTTTTACGAAAACCATCAATAACAATAAATTATTTAAAATGGTATAATGATAGTTGTACTATTGACGTCATAACAACGTCTCCAATTATTGAATGTGATCGTTCATTACGTCTTTATTGTAGTACAATAACAGAAAAATGTGAATGTTTAAATAATATGTATTGGAATGGTTCATTTTGTGATTGTTCGTCTGGAATGTTTTATTCAGGTAATAATTACTGTCAAGAACGTTATGTCTTTGGTCAAATATGTAATTCTCAAATTGATTCATGTATGGAATATTTAATATGTTCAACAAGTACAAATACATGTGATTGTCCATCCAATTCATATTATAATCAAACAGCATGTAATCTAAAACTACCTTTTAATGCAACTCAATCATGTACATTATCAAGTCAATGTGTTACAGGTCTTGTATGCAGGTATATATTAATCTATTATTTATAATCAAAGAATAATCTTTGAATTATTTAGTTCTAATGTATGTACATGTCCAACATCACAATCATGGAGCAGTGATGGTTGTTCAAATTCATCTGCATATGGTGAATATTGTCTAACTAATACTCAATGTGATAGTTCCGCACTTTTAATATGTAATAGTACATATTCGAGATGTGCATGTAATATAAATTCTTATTGGACTGGTAAAATTTGTGTTGCACGTCGTAATAATGGTTCATTATGTAATAATACTCAACAATGTTATTCAAATTTAATATGTATTAATAATTATTGTCAATGTCCATTAATTAATACACAATATTGGTCAAGTCAAACATTAACCTGTCAATTATGTTATGGTAAAAATCTCTTTCTTTTCAGTGGTATCTGTTATAATATACCACCACCAACAAATTCAACATTATCAACATATACAACACTTTCATTAACTTATACATTATCAACAATTCAATATGATTATCAACTTAATTATTTATTTAACCAACATGCACGAGTTTATAATTGGATACCTATTTATTTTGCATCAAATAATCCAATAGGAAATTATTTTCATTGGACACCAGACAATACATTGATCAAATCAATATATTTTTGTAATGAAACAATTCAATCAAATTATATTGGTTATGTTTTATCGTTTAAACTTGAAGCATATACATCATGTCTTCGTGCTTGGTCAAGTACAACTATTGGACAATTAGCTTATCAACTTAATAATTATAACTATCATACTCGATAGGAATTATTTATTGGGTACATTCAAAAAGACAAAAACTGACATTTGTGATTCGTACTTCCAACGTTGCCTTGATTTTACAACGTTTTTTCTTTTTCATTTCGTTATACCTTGAATAAAATGTCATCAGTACAAATCAAGGTATTTTTTTCATAATTAAAACAAAAATATGAGACAAATAAATTGCAGGATTCTGTGAAAAGGCGCATTGTAAAACTAATATGAAAGAAAATATTGAATCCGAAGAAAAAATTCGACGACATTGGTGGAAACAATATAATGAAATAAAACAATATTTTCCCTATGAAATTAATTTAACTTTAGCTTGGCAACAATGGAATTATATGAATAGATCAAATCCATTGAAAGAATTTATTCTTTATAATAAACGAAAATATATTCAAAAATTAAATTCAAAATCAAAAGAAATTAATGATTTAGTCAAACTAAAACAGTATTCAGATTGTCTGAATCGTAAAAATAACAAATGCCTTTTTTAATTTACTAATAGGAATATGAAAGAATTGCTTCATCAATCAATAATGTTACCTGTTGAACCGTCTGTGCAGCATTTTCTTTATCATGGAGTAACTCAAGATAATTCTCAAATCGATTATAGTACTGGACGAGAAACATATCTTAAATTACGAAAACGATTAGCACCAAATGAAAAATATTATTATCCAATAACATCCTCTATGGATATTACGTGGTGTATAGAAAAATTTCATATTTGAATTCAAGATAAAATGCAAATATTAGACAAAAAAACATTTGTTAAATATATATATATATATATAAAGATTATCTGCAAGATAGATATCAGTTCAAAAAATAGAATTATATTATAGTAATTTTCTCGTAGTTGTTTTGTTTGATTTTTCTGCTAATTGTCTCATTAATGCAAATCGACGTTGATTTTTATCTAGACGTTGTTGCTGTTGTTGTTCTTGAGGATATTCTGGTGATATTGTTTTAACAAATTCTTCATGATGATTATTTTCATCAAATTGTATTTCATCTGATTGTGAAGGAAGATCATCAGATAATGTTGGAAATATTAAATCTTTATATAGATCATCTGCTCCATCATCTGTAGGTTGACTTTCAGTTAACATTGAAGATTGTTTATCAATATCCGTTACAGCACTTTCCATAAGCCAGTTTTCGACAGATGTTAATTGCTGATTGAGAACATCATTTAAAGCTGGAATTGGTAATTCTTTTATTTCATTATCAGACTCAATAGTTGACAATGGTTTTGGTGCTAGAAAAAAAAGAATAGCATTGGTCAAGAGCTAAACACATCCTCAGTATCGATGATAATAATTCTTGTATCTCGATATGATTTTCTTACTTGAAACTGTTATTTTTTCCGATGTAGGAATATCCCATTGTTTATTATTTAGATAATTTTGAATATCTTGAATATAATTATTGAATTGTGTTTGACATTCTTCTAATAATAAATCTTTTTTCTTCTCTGTTTGATTTTCACGTAAAACTTGACATTGTTCAACTAGATCATCATATGTATTTGTTAATGATGAAATATCTTTTGTAATTAATTGGATATCACTTTCTAATTGTGTAATTTTTTTTCGTAATTCAACATTTTTTGCACGTGTTCGTACTGCATGATTTAACAATGGTGACGTAGTAGTATTCGATGATTCCATCTAGAATATAAAGATCATTCTATTGAACTAATGAAGAGGTATTTTAAACTCTTTGTTTTGCTATCATTGTTAAATATTCGGGACAATGTGATATTAATATTTACCATATGTCTAATTGGAATACGTTTATGATTTTAAACATTAATTCAAAGATTTAATTTACTAGAAATAAAATAGTCGAGTCAAATCATACATGGTATTGGTTTGAATGAAATAACCAATCGTAAGAATATTCAAAAGACAAATGAAGTAACATCCATTCATTTGAATATTTCATTATTCTTTTGAAAAATATATTGTCTACAGTATCTATGTTAAAATATTAATAATATACAACACGAACAATTGAAATGCATCACATGAATCAAGTTAATTATGTTTTAAATATGCATATATCTATTGAGAGAAAATATTTTTAGCAAATCATTGTACATTAATTATAATGTTCATTTAGCTATTTCGTCTACTATAATCAGAATGAATCTACAATAATGGTAGTTTACAGAAATAGTGTATCTCTACAGATAAATTAGAACATAGAATGAACCTATGTAATTATTTATCTTAACTCTACAAATTTGTTACTGCATATTCTCTGTTTGTTTAAATCCAATTCTCTTATTCAATGTGAATATTTTGATATAAGATAATTAAAATTCATTGATTCCCTAGCAAAACTATTTATGGATAACAATTGCGTATCGATATAACTAGATTCTAAAGAGATTTTAATAGAGTATATACAACAATACCCTTTAGATTATGTTTTTTCAAACATGTATGCCCATTCAACTAGCGTTAATAATTGTTAATTCATAATCATTACTGAATCTTAGTATTTAACGATAAAGATTACCCTACATGATGGAGGTATCTGTAGGATTTCTGATTGGAAATATAGCAGATGGTTGCCCTTGCGTTTATATAGATTAATATATATATGTAAATTGAATGTTTTTTTCTGTGATTCAACACCATCTGAGTCTTTAATATTAATTAATTAATAAACTATTCAAATAAAGAAAATTATACTTATTTTTTTAAACTTTTTTATTAATAATTGATATTAAATTAAATCATACATAATATATAGTTTAAACATGAAATTAAAAGCTGATGTTAACGCACTTTTATTTATAAGAATATCAAATCGAAAAAAGAAAATTTGACGAGTGCTTCGAATTATCGATGAGCTCATAAATGCTTTCTTGAAAACATTGATCAAAACTAATAAATAAGTTGTCTAAAATTTCAATTACAATAGCAAAGAAGTAATAATTGTCTAAGAAAAAGAATCTTAAAGATATATTTTAAATGGCGTGCACATAATTACAAAAGTTCATTCTACAAAAATACAATAAAAAGCACTCAGATTTGAAAATTAGTTCATTTTAGTAATTCTTATCCTTTTAGATGCAGAAATTGATTCAATCTGTGTAATAAATAATATTGAATTGATTTGTATATTTGCTGGATTTGTAATACGCCATTCAATTGCTTCCATATTATCGTCTGGATTTTCTTTATATTGTGGTGTAGTACAAGGATAAGTACGATAACTATTACTTTTGACACTGCATTCTAATATAGGTATTAATTTTTGATCACCATTGTCAAATGATTTTGCATACGTTGGATCTGAACTATAATATATACTAGGACTTACAAAAATTGCCGCAGGAAAATCAGGAACACCAGAGACTGTTGTACCGCGTGCAATATGATTGCCCGGTGGATTAATACGTTTTCCACTGCTAACTACGGTACCTGGTATAACGAATCCATCAAGAAGAATTGATCGAACAGCTTCTATATTTGTTCCATGGTAGACCACATGAGGAAATGATTCTGCATCTCTTTTGTGAATATTCAAACATTTACAAGATACAGGATTATCTCTTGATATTAATGGTTGTTCAAGAACAGTTGCAATAAACATATCTATAGGTAAAGCCAACTTCCCAGGAATAATATCAACATGACGTATAAATACATGAGTACCGTCTATTGTAGATAAACGAGCTCGACGAGTGTCTGAAGTGAACGAATAAGTTGAAGGTGTTGCTAAAGTATATAAACGAGCATTTGGTTGATTAGCAATGGATACAACAGGTAGTTCGACGAGTTTTGGAGTATCTGTGAAAAGTTCTAATTTAAACAAGCAAATACATCCAGGTATATCAAACTTTTCACGATCAGGTGAAAAAATTATTGTAAGTTTGACTTCAATATCATCGGTTATTGAATTTTCACCAAAAGTAAACATTAAGTCATTCATTCTAACTATTTTTTTTTGTGTAAGAGGAGCTTTCAATGAAAACCATTCCACTTTACTATGAGCGGCAAGCAATTTAGTAAAAGATCGCAGGTCTAATCTGGGCTCCTGACGAGTTGTTTGAGAAATTATGTTTTTAGTTGGTAATGTTTTGTGACCAGTTAAACATATAGGTGTATCAATAAATTTTGAAGAAGTATATCGAGCACAACCAACAGCTGATATGACAGTTGTATTGTCGTCTTTAAAATATAATGCACGACGAGCAATAAAAAAATGACGACATTGATTCAGTGAAGTTTTAGATAATGATGCCAATAGATCTTTATATCCATCGTTGAGTCCTATTTTTACTTTTTCTGGCAGTTTTTCTTTCGTATCATCATCATCATCATCATCATCTTCATATATATGAATTTCAATCAATTTTTCACTTTTTAAATTGTGTTTATGTTCTGCTAAAAGTTCTGTAATTTGGCTTGCTATATTTTTGTCTACTTCTTCAGATATAGCTTCATCAAAGACAGTAGCTCCAAAATCATTTTTAATGTTTACATCAGCACCATATTCGAGTAAAAGTTCAACGATTTTAATATGACCCCGAAATTTTGCACCATGTAATGGTGTACTTTTTGGTTTAACTTTCATTTGTATATTCACATCAGCTCCATGTTCTAATAACCATTTTGCAACAGAATGTTGTCCATAACGACATGCATAATAAAGTAAACTTGTTCCATTTGAATCTGTCATATCTTTTAAATTATCATCGAAATAATAATAAAACCACCAGTCTATACCTTCTTTTGCCATTTCAAACATATCACGTGTACGTATACGTTGAAAAATATCAATAATGCGATCTCCATGTTTAATACCTTCTTCTTCAGCTGTTGTACCCCATCGATTTCTAAGTGTTGAATCACAACCAGAATTTAAGAGATATTCAACAATCGATGTATGACCACCGTAAGCAGCAAGATGTAAAGCAGAATTTCCATTAAAATCGACAAGATCTAAATTAGCTAATTTTTGTTCTATAAGCCAATGTACAAGATCATCATAGCCTTTTTTACAAGCACAATGTAATAAAGTTTGTCGTTGAGCAAAATATTCTGTATCTTGATGCTGTGTTAAACTATTTTCAAGAAACCAATTAAGTTCATTTGCAGCTACTCGTACATAATCATTTTGCTTGAGTTCAGTAAATACTTGTTTTACATCTTGATTATATGCTTCATCTTCAGCTGTACAATTGCCTGAATTTTTTATTCGATAATCAGCTCCACTTTCTAACAGACAACGAACAACATCTGCATGCCCATAAAAAGCAGCAACATGTAAAGCTGTACTTTTTGTACGTTGTGATAAGTCTGGTTCAGCTCCTTGTTCAGTTAAAAATTTTACAGCTTCTAAATTACCAGCACGAGCTGCAGTATAAAGTGTTGTATGACCTGTTACAGAATCTTGAGCATTAAGTTGTGTTAAATTAGCAGTATTTAATCTCTGTTTAAGATCACGTAATAGATCAGGTTCAGCAGCTAATTGTTGTGGAGTATATTTTTCAATTGATAATTCAGAGATCCATTCGTTTTGAGAATCATAACGGTTGCGTTTATCATAGTCAGATAATGTTTCATATGCACGACAAATACGTCGAAAATTAAAAGCCGAAATTTCCTTCTGTTTATGTTCATGAATTTTTGTTCTATATACTGTACGCAGTTTAACATAGTCGATATTTTGAGGAACAGCAAGTATTTCATAAGGTGATTTATTTACTAATACCATTATTCAAATACGCTTCTGTCTATTTTACCAACTTATATACGCAGTAATAATGATGCACTTTGTTATTGTTATAGTATCACTGAAATATATTTTCTTCTTCTCTCTTTCTCTCTCCTTTCTCGTATAGACGATATATATATATATAGGAATATTCCTTTCTTTTTTTTCCTCTGTTTGTATTTTCCAAACGTTCTCTTCTGATAATGTTCAGGTATTTTTCCCTAACCAGTTGTTGGATTTTTTCTGACCTGTTCAGTATATATGTTAGAACACTTTGGAAAATAAAGCAGACATTTTAGTTTCGATCCGTTAGATCGATTCTCCCGCTAACCCTTAAGCGGGGGGGGGACGATTTCGACTAAAAACTATTTTTGAGTCCAATCGAAGTAGTACGAACCTATTTTTTCGTTCATTTTTGCTATAAAAAATTCTGAAGAGGGGGGACGCCCCCTTAAATTCCCCACTGCGATAAATAAACGAGTATGGTATATTTTATAGTGTACTATTTGCTATTTTTTGAATATTTTGAAATGAAGTTTTATTTATATATAAGCTTAATGAATCAAATCAGGAGATGCATAGCCATCATAATTTTTTTTATAGTTAGACTGTACATTTTTGAGAATGTAAAATAGCAAAAGTTGTATGTTGATTTTTGAAAGAAAAATTATGGAAGTATTAATTGGTATCTGTTCAGATATCATTTTAAAATTCAAAATATATATTACAAAAACAACTATGATAATATTCATTTTTTTATTATTAAAAAATATTCTTATTAAAAAATAAGTAAAATTTCCAGTGATATTCTTTTATTTTTGTTCTCTAATAATATTATATTGTATCTGATTTCCTGACTTATTACTTTATGTAAAGTGATATTCAACTTTGAATAATAAACAATAAAAAAATTAATACAAATATTTTTCAATGTATAAATTTCTTATGAATATAATAAATATTCACGCGTTTTCTACGAATCTTAACTTTTGCCTATTGAGACAACATCTAAAAGTATATCTCTATTGGTCAAAACCTTATATCCAATCATAAATAGAAATGAAAATATTACGAAGAAATAAAAGTCCACAAATAATAAATAAATAATAAAAAAAGAAAGGAATGATTGATTCATCGTTTTGATTTTTCCCTGTCACATTGAGAAAAAAAAAACGTTATTATATATTATTTAGATGTTTTAATTATTTTTCTTTTATTTGAAAAAAATATGGATGATTTACAAGTTACAGATATGTTAGATGATTGGGTTTTTAATGCTAATGAAACAAATATTTCGGATACAAGTCAATCATTATCATCACCATCTGTTCCTTCATCACCGGCTTTGTCATTAAATGAATCGTCATTACCAATAACAAAAGTTTCTTTATTATCAAATAATGAAGAAGAAGATAATCAAATCAAAAAACGTAAATTAAGTGAGCATAAAACTGCGTCAAATGAGCATAAAAAATCTAAACAAACACCAGCATATATGAGAAGAAATATTCGTACTTTACTACCAAATGATAAATTACAAGATGATACATTATCAGCACTTCGAGCTGAACAAGATCGTCTTAAACGATTAGCAGAAATTAATGATAATTATCAACCATTTCAAACTATCTATACACATTTATCAACAAATAATCGTAATCAATTTAAACCAATACCAAATGAACAAGAATGCATTGTTTTAGATGATGATGATAAAGGACATGAAAGTCTCTCAGTACTAAAAAGATATACAGGTAAATCTATTTACAATCACTGTTAATTAATATAGACAGTAAATATTTATTTTATAGATTCAAATCGAAGAATAGTTGCTGACGATGATGATGATGATAGTAATGATTCTGATGTTCAATGTGTCGATAGTGATACAGAAATTGTAAATGATAAATTAACTAAAAAATTACAACGTTTACATGTTTACGATCGTGTTAATATTCCAGATGAAAATGGTAATATATTAATTAATGTAAATCATCCAAGTGATGATCCGGATCTTTATATATCCAAACATCTCTGTTCAATTTTAAAACCTCATCAAGTCGGTGGTATACGTTTTATGTATGACAATATAGTTGAATCTCTCGAACGTTTTCAAACAACACCTGGTCTTGGTTGTATACTTGCACATTCAATGGGTTGTGGAAAAACTTTACAAGTAAAAAACAAAGAATTTTATTTTCATCATTTTGAAAATTGTTTCGTTTTAGGTTATTACATTCATTGATATTTTCTTACGTTATACAATAGCAAAATCAGTATTAATTGTTGTACCTATAAATACAATACAAAATTGGGCAAATGAATTTAATCGTTGGTGTCCAGTAGGTAATCCTAATATTGATTATCAACGTCCGTATCAATTGTATATAATAAATGAAACATCAAAAAAACTTGTTCAACGTGCTAAAATTGTAGAGAATTGGTCTCAAACAGGTGGTGCACTTCTTATTGGTTATGAAATGTTTCGTTTAATGGTAACAAAAAAGACTCCACAAACAAGTACATCAACAAAAACGAATAATAATAATAATATTAGAATAACGAATATATCTAGTCTAAGTACACCTTTATTTGGTGATACTGAAGAAGAAGAAAAAAATAATGAAACATTCGATGGTAAAAAACAAAATAAATTAATTACCTTAGATAAAATAATAAGAATTTATTTAGATATAAGAAATGCATTAATTAATCCAGATCTTGTAATTTGTGATGAAGGTCATCGAATTAAAAATCATCTAGCTAGTGTTGCAATTGCTTTAAAATCAATTAAAACACAGTATGAATTATTATTTAATTGACATAAACAAATCGTAGAAATCTTTTTTTTTTCTCTTGATTAGACGCCGGATTGTTCTTACTGGTTATCCACTACAAAATAATCTCATTGGTAAGTTTAATATACAATTGAGGTTTCTTAATTATATAATGATTTATATCTATATAGAATATTGGTGTATGGTTGATTTTATTCGTCCAAATTATCTTGGTAGTAAACAAGAATTTTGTAATATGTTCGAACGTCCTATTCTTAATGGTCAATGTGTTGATTCAACTTCTGAAGATAGACAATTAATGCGTGCTCGTGCACATGTTTTACATAGTTTACTGGAGGGTTTTATTCAAAGACGTGGTCATGATGTTCTTCAAACTGATCTTCCACCTAAAAGTGAATTTGTTATATTACTTAAATTATCAAGTATACAACGACAATTGTATATGAAATTTCTTGAAGCTGTCGGTGCATTATCAAGTACATCTGAACGAACACTTAATCCATTACGAGCATTCACGATTTGTTGCAAAGTAAAAATATTTCATTAAGTAAAAGACAAAATTTTTATTTTTTGAAAAAAAAGATTTGGAATCATGCGGATGTATTATATAAATTTGTTCGTGATCGTCAAGATGGTTCTGATGTTGATATTGATTTAGAAATTGATCAAAGTTCAAATCGATCATTATCAACGAAAACGAGATCAAATAGTCGTTTAAATTTAATGAATCGTTCATCACCTATTTCATCTCCACAAACAATGAATATGAATAATCCGTTTGAACCTCAACAAATGTCAACATATTCAGTGGAAAAAAAAGAATTTGATTATGATTTTGTTCGTTAATTTTATTTATATAAACCATCATTTTATTCTTCTGCTATTTCAGGCGAATTCAATTTTAAGTTCTTATATTACTGGACAATTATCAAGTGGAATTAAATTTGAAGTTGCCTTAACAATTATTGATTTGTCAGTTCAAGTTGGAGATAAAGTTCTTTTATTTAGGTAACAAAAAATCATTTATTATTCTTTATTTTAGTAATTTTTTTTGAATTTTTAGTCAAAGTTTATTAACATTAAATAAATTAGAAGAATTTCTTAGCCAACGTCAAATACCAAATACAAAACAAAAATGGGAAAAAAATAATACTTATTATAGTAAGTTGAAAATTTATCAATAAAATGAACGTTAAATTTCGATATAATTTTATTTAGGACTTGATGGTAGTACAAGTGGTCTCGAACGTGAAAGATTAATCAATGCATTCAATGCTCCAAATTCTAATGCAAAATTATTTTTAATATCTACAAGGTAACACAATTTTTTTCTAGTTCAATTTTAATTTTGATTTTTTCTAGAGCGGGTTGTCTTGGGATCAATCTCGTTGCTGCAAATCGAGTTATTGTATTAGATGTATCATGGAATCCATGTCTTGATGCTCAAGCTATTTGTCGTATTTATCGTTATGGGCAAAAAAAACATTGTTACATATATCGATTAATAGCAGATTTTACAATGGAAAAACGTATTTATGATAGACAAATAGCTAAACAAGGAATGTCGGATCGTGTTGTTGATGAATTACAACCACAAAATCAATTTACTAGAAATGAAGTCGAAAATTTACTTCATTTTGCAGTAAGAAATACAATTTTATACATTATTTTTAATAATAATATCGTTTTCTTATTAGGCTGAAGAAGAACCACCTGCATCTGATTTAATTACCAAAATTGATGACATATCTAATGATCAAATATTATCATTGACATGTAAACAATACGCTCAATCAATAACAAAAATTCCATTTACACACGAATCTTTATTATCAGATCATAAAGAAAATCAATTAACATCAGCAGAAAAACGTCGTGCACAAAGACATTATCAACATGAAAAAGAAATGAATATATATTCAAATCGATCAAGATCGAATGTAAACCGAGGGTAAATCACAAAGAAATAATTCATTTCTTTGAAATTTTATTCTTCATTTTCTTTAGTTCATCATTTGTTAATAATAATAATAATAGTTCTCGATATATAAATGAATTTCTTCAACGTTCGAATCAACCACTTGCATCAACAACTGGATCTCATTATTCACAACCTACTCAACGTCAAATAACAGAAAGTAAAATAGAACAATTAAAAAAACGAGGAATTACAGTTCAACCTGTTATGTTACGAGCTCGTAAGGAAAAATATAGAAATTATTATAAATTAAATCAATAAAAATCTTCTTTAGCATTGGAAGTTCAAATGAATAGTTTCGATCATGAATCAATTCCAGCTGGTGTTAAAATTCATTTAATTAAATCACCTCGTGGATTAAATATTCGAACACCGGATGGAAGAATTTTTTCTATTCGTCAGTCATCAGCACAAACAGTAATGAACAATTCACAATCATCACCAATCGCTCCTCCTCCTCCACCACCACCACCACCTCCACCTGTTCTCCCACAACCATCAACTTCTAATTTACTATTTGGTATATTTATTTAAACTAATAATGTATATATATATATTTAAATATGTTTAGATTTACCATCATTTCCATATCCTTCATCATTAACGAATGATTTTAATATATCAACTGATCTTCTAAATGATGATCTAGATCTTAATCCACCTTCAACATCATCATCATCATCTGCGTTTGACAGTTTAAAGTCATGGCAAAATGATTATCTTCAAAATCTTGATTTCTTTTCAGATCTTTTGCCAAATCAACCGAATATGTCTCTATCACCCGAAAATAATAACAATATAAATGATTTTACTTCGAGTTCTTTAACATTTACATAAATCAATTCAATATTTATATTGTACAAAAAATTCCAGAAAAAAAAATTCAATTATTTTAACATATATTGCACATGTAGAATTTATTTATTTTTATTTTCTTTTCGTGTTTAAAAATCATCTGTTGAATTCCTACAGTTGTTAGCATATATTGTTGCTATTTTCTTCTTTTTTTCTATTGTGTAATATTTTTCGTATTTATACTTGCTTTTATTTTTTAATAAGAGAAAAACGAAATATACCAATATAATTATATAAATATTACTTCTCGGTAATGAACAGATGTCTAATAACGAGCAAAACAAAATTGTCTAAATTCAGTTTTTTCATTTTAGACATAGAGAGATTTAGTATAACAAAACTAACACTTTCAAATATGAATTAAACTGAAGTTAACAATATCGGTAAAACTAACTTGAGCATGTTTTATGAAAATTTTGGATTTTAATTATTTACACTTATGCATCATCTTTCAAAATTTAATTTTATAAGTTATAAATCGACCTATAAAATAGAATATACATGTAGGTTAAAAAAGATTAGACTTTGTCAGCGTGATGTGAATAGACAATGGCGTGTTATCATCACATGCGTACTGCATTATATTCTCTTTCGTTTTCATTTAAAAGACGCTAGAGTACACTTACTTCTTCAAACAAAACTATGCAAAGAATCTTTATTATAATAGAATTAAACGTATTTATCATTTATCCTGGAGAAATAAATTGTATTCATTCCTCGCCGATATGAGAAAGAATTTGTTTTTCAGTGTATAATAGTCGAAAATGATATTGTACAAAAAGTGCATAATTATCTTCTTATATTTATTGTAATGTCTAGAAGAAGTAAGATTCATATTTTAAAATTATTCTGAATTTTTCAGATGACAACAACAATCGGAAATAGAATTACATCCTATTTTTTTATATTCGATTTTTATCATATGAAAGATTCGACAGATGAGACTGACTTAGTTCCAGAATCAATCATATATTTTTACTCTCCAAAAGAAGACCTAAAAAGACAAGTAATCTATATGTGAACAAATAAAAAAAATTAGATGCTATAAAATTAATAATTTTGCTCATGTAATTTTTTTATTAATTCAATCAATTGTTCTATTTGTTTTGTTTTATTTCTCTAGAAACTTCTTGACTGCGGTGAAATTATTGGTTTAATTCAATTCTTCAAGCATGATTTATTTGAATGTTTACCAAAAGAATTCAATTTTAAAAAATCATTGGTTTCATGTGAACATTTCGGAAGACATTCTGCAGTAAAAATAATCTTAATTTATATTTTGATTATTGATTACTTTTTTTTTGTATTCATTAAGTTTTTAGTTTTATCCAAAGATCGATTCACTATAGATGAAGCTAATATGCATCTAACTCATATTTTACAATTATTTAATATGCTCTACGGTACATTGAATCATATACAATCAGTAAGAAAACCGAATAATATTACAATTTTAAAAATCTGTTATTCTATAGATTTATTCAGATATAAATCAAATTGAAATATATCTTAAACAAACTTTAACACCAATTATGGAATATGTATTTAATGAAAATCGTTCGATAAAAAATTTATTTTCAGCTATTGACTATGCACCAATGAAAAAAGTATGAAGCTAATATACAATCTTCTTTTTGTTAAATATTATTTTATAGAATGACGGACGATCTTTATTACATATAAAACATCTTTTAAATCATTTAGAATCAAGACATGGAATAAAGGCTGGATTTTTTAGTTATGAAAAACGGTTAGTTAACATATATTAATAATATTAATATACATGTGTATTTAATAGAATATTATATTCTACAATTGATGTTGAGACAACATTTTATTTACAAACTATATTGGGTTTAGAACATAATTTACCGGTAAGTTATTCAAAGATTGAAATGAACTAACTACTTTGATTAGTAATCTCGATGATGTTTCAGAACTTAGAGTTCTCGTGAAATCGCGATTAATCAGTTAGACTTAACTGAGCTTTGAAAACCCTAGTTTGTTTTCGATCTCTTATATCAATTCAATTTTATATTTTAATAATGTTTCTCAGATGTAATTTGTTTAGCTATAAATTAACATTCAGTGTTTTATTCAGGATTTCACTTCCGAGGAGTCAAAAACGATTCCCGGGAGGGAACGCATTGTAAACGGCACAAAAATCGTAAATCTCGAGAGGGCAAACGCAATCTTCGGAGGTGCAAAATGTCCCATGTTCCTTCGCTAGATAAAACAGTGGAAGTATTCTATTCCTGAATCGTGATAGTAATGATTAAAATAGTGTTATTCATCTAGAAATCAAATTTAATATAATTTATACAATTATTTTCAACTTTTTATTATCTAAATAAAAATTAATTTACCTATTTCTTTTAGCTAAATGAAATATACATGAGATTAAATCCTGAAATCAAATTAAAAAACGGTGTATCATTAATTCGAATATATATTCGTCGACCACCTAGTTTACAACCGATCTTAAATGCTATAAATACAAGTTCAACATATCATGCTAATTCTCAAACACAATCACATCCAATTAATATAATCAGTAGTTTATTATCAAGTGAAAATGAACTATCTCCAATACAATTTCATTCAACTGATATGAGTTATCCATTATCAACTAGTGATAAAAATCGTTATAAATTATTAATTGAACAACAATCAACGAGTTCATCAGGAGAAACAACAGATTTTGATTGCGACCAAATAAGACGTATTTCATCTACCAGTTCAGTTGATACAAACAGTGTTCGATCATCTTTTAATGATAAAAAATTTATTCCAATACCACAAGTTATTATCATAAATTTTTCATCTATATTTTAATTATATTTTTCTTTATTTAATTTAGTTTTCAAAAGAAGAATCTAGTTTAATATATTCACCTACATCTCCTAATAGCTTAGGAATTAATAAAGACAAAATTGATAATCAATATAAACGAACACGTTCAATTCTAACGGATAATGACTATGCAAATTCTTTAAAAATAGATCCGGACATATCACGAACAGATGATACAAATATTACTAGACTCGTATTTGAACAGATAGAAAATGATGATTATGAAAGTGCTTGCCGTGAAGAAGATATGATTTGTTTACCTCCTATGTCATTATTTTCAAATTATTATCGTGGAAGACAACGAACTCTTACAAGTCATTCAGATTTAGATGATCCTGAATATAATAATAATGGAAATCAAGAAGGACATGCAAAATGGGGTGATGTACCATCACAAAATGATGAATTTGAACGTGATGAATATATACTTTATATTCAACGAAATTCACGTATGCTTTTTGCTGGAATTATAGAAAAAAATTTAATAACAGAAAAATATCTTCAAAATTTGGTAAGAGAAAAATAATTAATAATATTTGTATTACAAATCTAAAAGAAATTCTATCTAAAAGTATTTTATTTCTGTTATCTTAAACTAAACTAATATATTAAAATTCTTTTTCTTTATTTGTCTTGATAATTAAATGAAACATATTCTTTTCTTGTCATAGTGGTGTTTAATGTTAACCGAAATGGCAGATTTGGATCGAGAAATACAAATTATTCCAATCTCTGGGGAAACAAGTGTAACTAAAGAAATGTATATATTTAGATAAGCCTTGAGATTGCTTTTTTCTTTGTTTAGAAATATAGTACTGACATAAAATTTCAATTTAATGAAAATATTCGTCAAACACAATGTAAGTATCTAAAGATAATTTTCTTATTATTGGATTAATTTAAAATAAAATGAAACTAATTTTAAGTTGAACGATTCTCGGTTGCTAATCATTGTTACTATAAAACTCCTTCATCTGATAGTGCATGTATGGCATTTAATGCACGAACAAAATTAAGTTTAAATCCAGAACGAAGAATAATTGCACTATCGTAAGATATAATATATACTCTTTTTTTTTCTTCTATACATGATCGATGTTTATTGATTTTGTTTTCTAAATTACAGAAGAGGTAATAATTTGATATCAATCAATCGAACATTACCTGATCGTGTAACGTACTCCTGTCGTCGACTTCATGAGTCGAAATAAAGCCTATTTTTTTTCATTCTTATTTACATAACACTTCACCTATATTTATGTATTGAAGCTTGATATAAAAATTTCTTTTCTTTTTTCCATAATTGACGAGAATATTTATTTTCAGATGAATAAAATATATTAATATTACCTCAAACATCTCAATGGATATAAAAGAATGAAAGCAGAAAAGAAAATATGTCTTCTTTTACACCTTGTCTTCGAATTTTTTTATTGAATGTTTATTCTGATATATTTTGTATTTATTACTCTAACATATGCGCATAATTGTTCATTGGACACATCAATTAAATATAATCATGTATATTTATGTCGTGAAAAATTAAATTCAACATCATTACGTATATGGTTACATTTAAGATTTAATCAAAGTGACTATAACGAAAATTTCTTTTCCTATTACATATTTACACTAAGAGTTATTAATTTAATTTCTGGTGATCATATTCATCTTGAAGATCGTTTTGAAAAACAAATAGGTGATTTTACTCAAATCAATAGAAATAAAAAAGAAAACAATACAATTAATATACATCATTTATCACCTGGTCGTTATGAAATCTGTGTTAATTTATTAAGTAATAAAACTAAGAAATTATATTATCGTTCATCGTACAGTTGTATACATATACCATGGCATGTACCTGAATTTGAACGCTATAAACCAAATCCTCTTAAAGAAGTATTACTAATCATCAGTTTTATTATCTTATTGATAACAATCGCATTTGTTGCCCATAATATCCATACACTTAGTGAATCTCGAAAACCTTTAATCGTTGTGCATAATATTGATGAAGAGGAAGATAATGATAATTCTGAACTTGCTAAACTTCTTGCCAATAAACATTTCGTACGAAATATTAGTCCATTAGAATTATTAGTCCGAAAACGTATACATGAACGGTATAAACATCAATCGCCTGATGTAAATGAATTTTAAATATAATTTGTTTTTTTTTATATTGTTTGTAATATTTTTGTGAAGAAAAAAAGAACGAATTATTTCTCTAATTGTTTATTAATGCTTTACTGTTTCTTCTATTTTAATGTACATTGAGCAAACAAATAAGTCTGGACATCTTTTTTGTTTTTTCTCATCATCATCATCGTCACATATCATTACCGGAACAATAGAAACTAGTTCTTTAAATAAACTAAGACAGAAAAACAAAGAGAAAACGAGGATAGAATTCTATCTAGGGAACATAGCAGCAAGAGAGATAATAATAGCAGCTAAGTAAATAAAAAAAAAAGTTCGATCAAGTACAAGTGCAACTTGTTTCCAATCATTGATAGTTTTAGCTTTTGCTTCTTTATCTTCCATACGTTTTCTTGTTGTACGTAAAAAATCTCGAATTTCTTTTAAATCTGTTTCAACAGTCATAAATGCAATTGATGCTGTTATTTGCTGTTGAATTTGTTGTGTAAAAAGAGTTTCACGTTGGTGTTGGTGTTGATCATCATCAGGTATTTCTAATGTTTCATCATTGGAATCATCACTTGTTGTTGTTGTTATACGTTTATCACCGAATGTTTTAAAACGTTCTTTAAGTAATTCAAATTTTTCGAATTTATCACCATCACATGTTGCTTTTACTGGTGGTACTAAACCATTAACAGCATGTTGTTGATAGGAATTTGTATGTGGTACCATACAGAAAAGTCTCGCAAGACATTCAAGAAAAACCTTATCAGAAAAATACAGTTTTTTCTTTTTTGAAATAATAAAATAAATACTTTTCGTAATATAGCTGGCATTGGTCCATTACCACGAAAATAAATATGAACAACAATTGTACAGAGAAATGTTGATGTTGCAATCATACCCATATTTAAACAGTAGTATGCACCTAGGAAGTAAATGACATGGATTATTTCCATTAGAGTCAAAGGAAATAGGTTCCATTCAAAGAAAATATTTTATTTCCGGAGTCCGATTTTTCTTCTTACCTATACGTGGAATGTGTTCAGCATTTGAGGGCATATTTTTATATAAGAGAAGTAACAAGACAAAAAATGATGTAAAAATATTCATTCCTATATTTAAAACAAACATAATTTTTCTATAAAAAAAAGTTTAATTGAATTTACCAAGTACTAATTTTGATGGGCTTTCCGGCTAATGAGAAAAAAGAAAAGTAATAACAAAAAATGAGAGATATTTCACTTACCGGTAGCCAAAAAAGAATACAAGTTAAACAAGATAAAAGTACACAAGGTAAAATTAAAATATAATTATAAAAACCACCTCGTCGTTCAAGTATAATATAAAATTTTAAATCAACATAAATTTCTGGACAACAATCTAATAAAAAAAAAGCAGCATATAGTATGTTTTTTTAATTAAATCTTATTAGATTATACCATATTTTTCTGTATTACGTCTCGCATTATTTTCCAGAATTGACCATTCATTAGATTTAACATATGAATTAAGATCAAATCTTCTGATATCACGATAGAAATTTAAATTAACTTTTGAACTATCATATGTCCATGTACCAAATTTCATTGAGCAATTTTGTCGATCATATGGAAAACGTCTAAACAATAGAAACAATTATCTTTTTCAATGATAGAAAAAATTAATTACCGAATATCGATTTGACATGTCGATTTAAAAATTGACATTGGCTTCCAAAAAACAGTTCCATTATAATAAACAACAGCCAATACTTCGCGTTTTTCTTCAAGTCGTGTATCAGCACTATAAGACGAAAAAAATTAACATCAAGGTTATTCATTTGGATATACTTGAGTTAATCATAATAATTTTTTCTATACATATATATCCTCAAGATAATTTTTTTGTCTTTTGTCTATGTAAGAAGTAGGAGCTACAGATGGTTAATTTGTCAAACTTGTCTTTTGGGAAAATTCTCAAACATTTTCTTTGTTTTCAATAGAGGACTTACTAGTTATATAATGTGACATCTGGTTGCCAAATTTTTTTTATCGGTAAACGTATATCTAGGAGATTATCTTTAAATACAAAAAAAATAAAATTATTCTTTTATTAAACTATTATCCTATTTCATTTACCATATTCGGCTGGATCCCTAAAATATATATAGAAAAAAAAACAGATTAAGTAGAGAGAAGAAATAAGAACCTTTTTTTCTCTTATATTTACCATGTTAAAGCTTCATCCTGCCATTCCTAAAAACACAAATAAACGATTATAATAATCAATAAATATCTTAATATAATACGTACATAGATTTGCCATTGATTTGTGATTAATACTTGGTTTTTTTCATCCTAAAGTAATCTTAATCTAGATTATCATTTATTTTTTATTTAGTTTCACATACAAGGTCACTTATATGAATAAGCTGTAAACCGAATTGTACTTCAACATCTTCAGTCATATTTTTGACAGGTCGACCCCATTTAACTTGATAATTATCAAGTAAATCGCAAATAAGTCTTTGTTCAGCATTCCATGTTTGATTAGTTTTTCGATTACATATTTGTCCAAAAGACCGATCTATTAAATTAAATAAATAAAAAAAATTTCAAAGTCAGTAGAAATACAATTAAATTTATTATTTAATAGAAAAGAAATTTTTACCTGTAAGAAGAACAATTAAAATAATCAATGAATGAAGTAACATTTACGAAAATAAATAGAAATGATAATGCATAAATGCGTATTTCAAATAATTTTAAATTTCTTCATTGTTAGTTATTTTCATCTAGGTTTGTGCGTGTGTATTTGTCTACTTATGCGTGTGTTGATAGTGGTGCTTCGGTTGTTACGAGTTTTTCTGCATTTTTCTTTATATGCCAAGATGAGAGGAAGAGAGACAGAGGAGAAGGAGGGAGAGAAAAGTGTAGCTCGGAAAACGGAAAAATGCTGTTACAATACGACGTGCTCGTTCTCACGAGAGCGAGTAAGAGACGACAAAGAGAAAAGATGAGATGATAGATTCTTGATGCTCGTTTCTTCAAGTGTTGTGTTCCGATTAGAGCATTATCTTTCTAGTCTACTTGCTTTCACTTGAACTACATTTCCACAACAGTAAACGATATGGATACTTATTACATTTGTCTTATATATATTGATAAAAATAATCGATAACAAAAAAAAACATATTTATGTCAATAAATCTATATGATATAAAGAGTTAAATGACAATTGAAATATAATTTTATTATTAAAATAGATGTATATAGATATATATTCAAAATGAAGAAGAAAAGAAAAAAGAAAAAAGAAAGAAAAAAGAATTTCATTATTCTCCTTAGTGAGTCTTTTTTCTTGCTTTTTCCTCTCATTTTCCTTTATTACACACAGTGAGCGTCTCTTTCGATTATCTCTTGTGTGTGCACATACACACACGCATTGCAGAGCAGACTTTTGATTGACTGTCAGACTGAGAGACTAGAGAAGGCGGTATGTCCCTTTACAAAAGTAGGAAATGTAATTATGAGAATTTGAGCATCATCATTATCATCATCCTATTCGTGTATCTAATACACTAAAAACTAAAAACTCAATGACAAGGTATCGTCTTCCAGATTATATCACTCAATTAGATATAAAAATATTTAATCATCAATCATTACTATGTCGTTTATTTGTTACATCTTATTGATGGATTTATGTTATCATAAGTCAAGAGAAACTTGTTGTAATAGACAAAATATTACGGTATATATTCATACTTATCGCCTAAAGGAATTAAATAGAATAAAGCGAGTGACACACCAGAGCAAAAAAAACCTTATTGCAATTTGTAGTTTGTAATTTGATTGTATGCGTGCAATGACATTATTAGAATAACCTACATCATGCAAGTTACGATTAAAAACACGCAATACAATCAATGTAACTAACACACATCCATAGATATCTATGGTATACCCTATTCTTTTTGATCATTATTAACGTCAGTCACTTCCGATATCCTTAGTCTTCATTTTCATCATGTTATATTTGATTTCGAAGAAAAGCCTTGACGATTGTATTATGTTCTTTTAATTATTATGCTTTAGAATTAAGCTTAGAGGTTTGTTTGTTTTTACTATTGTTATTTAAAAGCTTATTCTTTATTATTATTATTATATAAAAATAAATTAAAAAACCTTCGTTTTGTTTTTTCATTTTCCGATTAAACTAATTATTAGTCCGTATAAAAAGAAAATATTCATAATTGCTTTTTCTATTTTCTATTTTTTTTTTTCTTCATAATAAATTATTAATTTGGCCTTGTTAGTTCATTTTTATAATGCAAATAAAATTGAAGTTTTTATTTTGAAAAGAAAACTGATTGATACCGTCCCATTGACTTGAAATAAAGTTATTGAGTATAATATTCGATAATTTGATTGTGACAGTTCATCAGACATGCAAATAGTTTAACGGTGTTCAAAGGAAATGTAATTTTAAGTAATTTAATAATATATATCAGTTGATAATCTTGACCTTATCAGTTAAATGAATGTATATATTCACAAAGTCATCCATTAGACTGACAAATATACTTGATGAAAACGTCCTATAATCGATGATTAATTGTCAACACATATAGATAATCAGTAACAATTCGTTTATTTTTACTTTTGCAGCATAGCCAAAAGTAAAAATAAATAATAAACATATTTATCAAATTAAATAACATGAGATTCAAAAGATTATAAATGTAAAAAAAAAACCACAGCAAAACAAATCAAAGGTTCACACACATGCATTATTGAAGATCGGAGATATTTTATGTAGATGTAGACACAGCAAGTTTCTTTAAATGTTCCATAAATGTTTGTAAATTAACATCATCGGTTAGAATGGGTGCTCCAAGAGCCTAAATTATAATTTAGAAGAAATTTGTTTTTGTAGAAAAAAAAATTCATTTCTTACTTGTCCCCATCCACAATTAGTATGTGTTTGTGATGGATTTACTTTATATAAAAGAAATCGTGCCTAAAATCAAATCAAATTCAATGGTGCATATCTTCAACATCAAAATTATATATACTTGTGATCCATTAGCTTCAGTAACAATATAACGTGGCATAGGAAAACGATTTTGAAGAATTTCTGTTGCATCACCAATAGGTGCTTGTAAAAGTTGTTTAAAATTTTCATATTCTGGTAAATCTTGATAACCAGCTTTTATCCATTGTGCAATAGTTTCACCATGATAAATTAATATATGATAAAATGTATCCATTAAAAGTATACGATCAGGTAATATACTACTACTATCAAGAAGTACAGGCTAAAAAGAAAGAGAAAATAATAATATTTTAAAAGAATCAAGAAAATAATTCTACTTCAGGTGGACCATTAAATGAATAAGCATAAAGTATAGGTTGAATCATAACTAAACATTGTGTTAAATCTTCAACAAGTAAATAATGTCTATTCAAAAAATAAAATAAAAATATTTTATTAAGAAAGATCTTACCGATAAAATGCTGTTTCATCTGGACTGTTATTAAACACTTGAAGAAATTGTGAACGACGTAAATGATACATAAATTGTGGATACAATGTAAATGTATCTGTTAACTGAAATGAACCTGGATTATCTTTATCATAAATAGCAAATTTTTGACACTAAACCAAACAGAAGAATTTAATAGAGCAATAACAAAAAAATAAATAAACATACAAGTCGAATAAGCATTTTATCTAACCAACGAAGTACATCAGAACCTTCTTCAGTATCAGCACGATAGACAGCTATACGAGCCATTAATACACTAGCACATTCTTGATCGAATGATGCAGCGATCGTTGGCATATGTGAGGCTGCATCGATCCAACTAAAATCAAATTGAATCGATAATTTAATAAATAAACAATACTTCTAAAAATTATGTTAGTACATTTATGTGAAATATTAGATAATGATTATGACTAATATGTATTTTATTACATTCACTTATTTTTAGTTTGTTAATGAAATTATAAAAATATTAGTAATCTATAAACAACAAATCATACTTTTTTTTTCATAGGATGTTATCAATATGTCTGCGACAAAGCGTTGTCGAGTAATCTGTCATCATATATGATACAGCAATGTAACAGTTTGTAAAAAATAAATGTAATCTCTTGTTTTATAGTATTGTTTAGAATTTATCGCAAAGATCATGCGAAATATATATTTTTCATACTTTCTTGCGACAGTTGTTACACGAATTTTCTTAAATCCAGATATTGGTTGATATTGTGTAATAAATTGTACATAACCTCTTTGATCCATTGGTACAGCTTGAGTTGTTTCTTGTTGCTAAATAATAAATATTTTTAATAATAAAGTTTTCATAAAAATCTCTCACTTGACTAAGTATTTCATAGAAAATTGCAAGAGTTGAAGTAGGATAAATTCCACAAATTTTCCATGCATTTGTTCCACCTATACCTAATTCAGTTTCTGAAACATTTGATGCACGTTGTGTTAATGAAACACAAGAACCAATAGCACCACAGACTTTCAATTCTCGACTTGTCTTTAATAGAAAAAAACAAAATCGTTTTTTTTATTAGAAACTATTTTATCTTTTAATTTACTTTAATTTCTAGAGTAGCACCAAAATTCATTCGATATTCATTTTTATTATCTTTAGCAAATACTTTTTGAAATGTTTGTTTAAATAATGATGTATTAAATGAATCACCCATTACCATATGACCACTAAAAATGAATCAATAGAAAAAAAATCAAAGCGAACAAATTTACCCTGTATAATTTGAACAATATTTCATTTCATGTAAACCAGTCTGATCCAATGCTGATGAATATAAATCAATAACATGTCCATTAGCAGCTGCTCGATTAGCTAAACCTTCATAAAACTAAATATATATGTGTTAAATATTTTATTTTTATTTAATAATATTCTTCGTACTTTATTCGCTTTCTTCATAAATTTTGCATTGTCTTTTTCAATATCATGATGAGAACGAATTGTATGTTTAAAGTCTTCATCAACTATAATACCTGGTCCTTGTGTACATGGACCAGCAAAAAATACCATAATACGAGCAGCAACATTTGGATACAAAGTCTAAAGTATATTAGTTAATTACATGATCATTTATTCGAAAAAGAAAATACTTCGAGTAAACCAGTGGCAATTGATAGTGCAGCTCCTGTTGATCGTAATGCACGTTTACCTTGTGGTACTGGCCATGGATCTCGTTGAAGTTCACCAAGAATGTCTGTTATCGACATATCACATGTCGATAATGGTTTAATAAATCTAAAGATGAAACTTTTAATTAGAAAATTGAAAATGGCTATTAAATGATATTGGTTTTCATGTTTCATTTCCAATAGTGCGGAAAAATTCAGTGATCGTAAAAGGAAATAAACCTTGACATTAGCGTGTCTAACGACGCATTTAAATAACTGTTTAGTTAGGTTTCGTGTTCGCTAATGAATGACAGCGTGACATATGCTAGAGTTAGACTTTTCTATCTAGATCAATTAACTACTTTATAGAAAGCAGAAATTTCTTCTAATGGAAATAGTCTTTAAAAAAAATCGACATTTTATAGTTTACTTGTTATGAAATATATTCGATTGTTGTTGCGGTATATTTGGATTTCCAGATAATGATGCTTGATTCGGTTGTTGTTGTTTCTTTAAACCAAGCATTTCCTATAAGTACAATTTCTGTTAATAATGATAAAACAAATAACAAGAATTTTTAAAATATTATCTACCTGAATTTGTTTCGGAGTTAAATCTTTCGTTCCACGAAATACATAACTACGTGACATATTCTCACAATTTAATTCATGAACATGTACTACACGACCAAATGTAATTAAACCAACAAGAGCATCTGTTGGTAATAAACTTAATGCCATTTGTAATGATTCCTATAAAATATGATTTTTTTGTTTAAAGAAATTATTATAATTTTTTTTTCAAAGTATACTTTTAATGCTATGAGATCATCTTCATCCATACATGTATCAACAACAAATAAAAATATAGCTGGTGAAGCTGGTGCACGCTAAATAAATAAAAATTTTACATTATAATAAAATCTTTCTTTCTTTCTTATACCATTAATGCATATTCAATTGTTGTAAATTGTGGTGAAAGTTCTGCAGGTTGTAATTGTTCAGTAATACCTGCATAATGTGGTGGGAAATTATTTCTTTGTAAACAAAAATTACATATCCAAAGTTTTACACGATAATCAACATTACAAAATGGATTTAATATTGCTCGACATGTTGTACGTGTACATAGAACAGGATCATAATTTAATGGTGGAAGATCAAAACGTTCTTTTAATGGTGTATATAAACAACCAAATGGAACAACAAGTCTAGTAGATTCTATGCGACTTGATGGCCAAACATTCCATGTAAAACGAATACCATCGCGTTCTTCATTTTGTGTAATATATTCTTGATAGGTTGTCATTTTATTTTAACGATGATATCGTTTCCGTTCAATGAGATCTTCAATGATTGATTGCGATCAATAACGTGGCATCAAAAAAAACAACGAATAGAATTAAACCAATGTCGCTAATATGATAAACAACTATTGGTTAAGAAAAAATAAAGAAGGATTTTATTTCAAATCATTTTCTAATAATGAGTAGTGAAAAGCATGTTGACGAAGATAATGAAACAGTTGCATCAAGTACCGAAAAAAACACTGATGTAGATGATTCCAAATCAACGGACTCTGATAATGATGATACCGATAGTAATGCTTCTAGTGAATATGAAGTTGTAAGTTAGAATAAAAAACTAATTTCTTTATTTTGATTATTATTATAATTAATAATTTTTTTCAGGAAAAAATTCTTGCTAAACGAAAACGACGTCGTGGTAGTGGATATGAATATTATATAAAATGGGTTGGTTATGATGAGTCAGCAAATGAATGGATACCTGCAACAAGCTTAAATTGTCCTGAACGTCTACAAGAATTTCAACGAGAAGAAGAACGTAAACGAAAACGTACACAAAGAGAAAGAACTACTTCACATAAACGTCGAAATCGTAACAATAATAGAAGTAGTCGAAAAAAGAAAAGACGTGTTAAAGTTATCAATGATGATGACGATGATGATGATGATGAACATGAAGATGAAAATGAAAATCAAGAAGAACCTGATGATAAAGTCGAACTAAAATCAGATGAATCACTCGATAGTCCAATAGCAAGTTTTGGTGAAATTTTGAAACCAAATTCAACTACTTATGGCGTTGAAAAAGGCTATAAAGTACAAGCTATTCTTGGTATTAACCGAACGAAAGGAGAAGAATTACATTATCTTGTTCACTATATATCTCCAACAGTATTTGAAGATAATATGGAATTAATTCCAGCTCATGTTGCCAAAAAATTTTGTGAAGATGAAATAATTCAATTTTACGAGACAAGAATCACATGGAATGATCGTCAAAATGATTGATAAAAATGAAG